TCCTTGCGGGTGTCAGGGGTTAGGGCTCATGAGGTTCGCGCTTTAGCTACTTCGTGGGCCTTATTTAATGGTTCTTCTTACGCTGAGGTCATGACAGCTGCTGTTTGGAGGGGTCATTCTACGTTTACGGAGTTCTATCTCCGATCTTTGTCAGGACAGTCTGACAGGTTGTATTCTTTGGGCCCTCTTGTGGCTGCCCAATCCGTTGTCTGTCCTCCCTCTTCTTTTGCATAACCCTCATTATGTCTTCTCCGCGTGATCCGGAACGCTGGTCGTAATCAGGCTCTTTGTCACAAAAGAAAAGGTATTTTGAATTTTTCCTCCAGGGGGTGGGGCCTATTGTTGGAACCCTTCATCGCTCCACGGAGACACCACTGCGGTAAGTCGAATTCGCATTATAATGACTGTGGTAACGTATTTTGAAATAGAATTGAGGTTTCTTTTGTGAAACCAATTTCTATTATAAATACTTACCACAGTCATTAGGTGAGTTCCCTCCCAGCCTCCCCTTGTCTCCTTGGATCTCACTTTTTTGGGCTTTGGAATTATGAAGTGGGAAGCATGGCTTCGTGTCTGATCACGTGCGTGAATACTGACGTCTGATTGGTGGGTTTTCCAGGGGTTCCCCATGGGGGGGGAAAATTCTATATTTACGTATGTAAAGAGCCAAGTAAGGTTGGAATATGCATTATAATGACTGTGGTAAGTATTCATAATAGAAACTGGTTTCACAAGAGAAACCTCAAAATGTTATCATTTTGCAAGTTACCTGTTTGTCATGGGAGTCACCTGTATGTGCCACTTTTTATGTGATGTGAGTCACTTGCATGTCATGTAATCATCTGTTTATTTTTTGAGAGTATTGTATGTACAATGTACACTCATTTCTTGTGTGTGTGTAAATGATCCTTGCTAATGTATGTTTGTGTCCTAAAAAATTCTGACAGGCGACCGATCAGAATTTTTTAGCCTGCGATTATGGTCAGTTTTAACAGACTAGTTTGTGTCCTACAAATGTGTGTTTGGGTCACTTGTATGTCTATATGAGATTTAATATTCCTACTTGTCTATCTAATATTACCTATACATCTGATATAACCTGTGTTCTAATTGATTGCCTGTATGACTATTACCTGTGTTCTAGGTGATTACCTGTATGACGATTACCTGTGTTCTAGGTGATTACCTGTATGACTATTACCTGTGTTCTAGATGATTACCTGTATGACTTTTACCTGTGTTCTAGGGGATTACCTGTATGACTATTACCTGTGTTCTAGGTCATTACCTGTATGATAATTACCTTTGTTATAGGGGTTACCTGTATGACTATTACCTGTGTTCTAGGTGATTACCTGTATGATTATTATCTGTGTGTCTTAGGTGATTACCTGTATGAGTATTACCTGTGTTCTACATTACCTGTATGACTATTACCTGTGTTCTACATTACCGGTATGATTATTACCTGTATTCTAGGTCATTACCTGTATGTATACGTGTGTGCTGCTGTAAGTGACACAGCTGCTTGAAGGCTTTGTCGCAGTATGAACAGACATACTTCCTGATTCCCGAGTGGACCAAACTATGCTGCGCCAGCTGCTGTTTGCTTTTAAAGCCCTTTGAGCAGGTAGGACACAGGTGGTTCCGGTCGACAGGAGGGTTGGTCGTTGATTCAGGCAGATTCTGTTGCTGAGGGGAGTGAATCCCATTAGAAGGTGAGTTTAGTCCATGTGGCTGAGAGTCACAGGTACTAGACACCGCCTGGGACTGGGACGTCGTTGTCTCGGGTATTGAGCCATGGAGGGGCAAGTCTGGTAAAACAACAAAGGATATACGTTGTGAATCTTTGTCATTCTTTATCAAAACGATAAATTTCATAAACTGACAGACAAGACGGTGGATGATAAACTAGTAAAAGTGCATTACGGTCCGATAAAAGACGCGGTTAAGCAGGAACATGTATTAGTTATGGTACTGTATGCCATCCATATCAATTACCACTATAAATTATACCTAAGACAATTACTTCCTGACAATCAGACACGCTGCGAAACTTTTAATCGGGAATGATTTATATGATCTTACGTATGTTCAAATTGGAGGTTTGTACACAAGATTCCATCTTTAATATATTCTACTGTGAGGGTAAATGTTCCTTAATATTTTTTTCTTTTAGACTTTCATGCCAAACTCCCAAGTAAGGAAAGATTTTTGCCCATCTTTAATATGGATATTTAAGACGAAGGAATTTCTAAGCCACAATGAACACCTGATTTATAATAAAATGTCATCTGCTTCTAAAATACGATGCTGTTAGTTTTATTTTATCACATGTGTCTATATATAATAGACACTGACAGGAAAGTCATTAATGATGAAAATGGTAGACATTTTCTTTTATATACACTTATGAAAGTTTGGAGAAGATTGTACCTGAGTCTATGCAATCAGAAGATAAAGGGAACTCATCAGTAGTTTTATATAACTTTGTGTCACAGTGTTAAGTTACCATATACAGATCGCATTCGTGGAGATTGTGATTTTCGCTATGCGCTATCTACCGATTTTCACTACTGATACTTATTTTCTACTTTAACCCTTTCACCACTGTAGACCATAATGGACTAATCCAGATCAATGTATGTTAGAGTCTACTAAAGTTACCTAGGGGTGAAAGGGTTTACAGCAGCTTTATATTGATAAATTTAATAAGCAACAAATTTCCATTAGGGACCTATACCCTAATTTTCAACACTAATCGCTATACAGTACTAAAAAATTACCTGTGAATTATTTAACAGTCATCTCCCTTACAAATATCTTAATAATATTATATATTTTTTTTTATTAATTATCAAAGCAGTAATTCCTGTTTCCCTTTCAAACAAGTCACTACCGGTATATAATAAAGTCACTCCAAATAACTTCTGTTAAGTTCTGACTTAAGGATGTATGCTACATTACAAATATTTATCCAATAATCAGGGCCGTTTTCGTTTAAACGGTCAAACCGGTCGGACCACTGTTGTTCGTTTATTAAATAAGGTCTGACCTAGCAATCTGATGCTACTTTCAGGCAAGCCTTGACAAAGCCTTGCAACGCCTGCATAAACATTTGCAGGTCTGCCAGGATTTATACCCGAAATTGTTACATTTATAAACGGTCAAATCGGTTGTTTCCGCATAAACGAACAGGCCCCAGGTTCTTACATGCAGTACCTTATTTGATATGGATATAAATATGAGTGATGTAGCATACATCCTTAAGGTAGAAAATGGACCTTTTTGCTAATTCATACATATGACAAACTAAAAGCAAATGCACTGCATAACGGTAAATGATACGCCCACAATGTATCCATAAAGTTAATAACATTTGGATATAAAAATACGTGTACTTCTTAGTCATTGTAAGGATGCTGCATTAACTTCAAGACTGGGAAGAAAATGAATCTGATATTTGAACTGCAGGGTTTCAACAATGCCAGTTTCATATGGAATTTTCAGGAATTTCTAAGTCTTCTATCTATAAAGTGCTAAACATTCCTTAAGAACCTTTCTACTGCATTCTTGTTACAAAATGTATAAAAATAATTGAATCGCAAACAGGCAAATAACTGCATTTGTACTTTATCACTTCAATAGTTTCATCATTTTTTGGATATTTTGAAATTGGAAAACTAGTTCTACCAAACTTTGGAATTCTTCTGGGGTTTTTAATTTATTAAACTAATCAGGAATAAGACAAGGAGCTTGTACACACTTGTTTACAACATTTTTGTAGGGATTGCCTCCCTTTACCCATATTTCAAATCATATTATATGGTTTAAATGAGAAACAGTTTCGAGAGCCATGGTAATATTTAATACAACATCCCCATTTTAAGTTTTAAACATTTTAATAAGAGTATCAACAAACACACCAAGTCTCAAAAGATTTGGTAGGAAACTGCAGGAAAAATTGACGTCGGAAAAGTCCGACAAACAGCCTGCTCTGGTTTCGGGGCCTGGTACCGGTACTTTAAAAAAAAAATATCCAGTATCATCAATATGATACATGATTCATGAGTAATTTAATTAATCAATTAATCTTTTTTTAAATACATATCATTCTATTTCAATTACTTATGTCTGTTAAACTCATGCACCTCTAAAGACGCACGTGAACTCTTCCAGTTCAAAGGTTGGAATAGTTCATTATGAAATTTCAGGGGTGAATGAGTTAATGTGATCTGAGTAAAAGGGGTCAAGATCACTGAAATTTGAAAAAGAGTTAAATATTTCAATCACATTTTCAATCTTAAAGAACCAAATTAAATGAAGAGGAATACAGCTTTGGATGCTTTTAAAATTGTCTGATTATTAATTACTTCTTTTTTTAAGTACCTGCTACCTATATAATGTTGTTATGTGACAAAACCATGTTTACATCTGCATGTCATTTAACTCATTCACCCCTGGATACACATTTGAACTCCTCTAATTCAAAAGTTGGAATAGTTCATTATGAAATTTCAGGGGTGAATACAAAGATTTTCCCCAATTTCTTCAAGCTACAGGTACTGTCCTTTTAATTGAGAAAATAGTATAACAGCTGATAGTTAAGAAAAACTGAAACTTTGCATTATTAAAACAAAAGACAATTCTTGTTTTGGGAGATGTATTAATTAGCATAGGGCACATTTTCTGATTTTTTTTTTCTTTCTTGATTTTTTAGAATATTTTTTTTTATGCAGTGACTTTGGAAAATAAAGCCCTCCAAAATTCCAACATTATTCAGCTGTAAAAATACCAAGAGATTTCTGACATGAAAAAAGTATTTTTGAGTACCTCTGTGTTTCAAGCGCAGTCCCTCTAGGGAGTCTTGTATGTTTTTAGATAAAGATTGATGTGAGTCTGTCCAACTATGTCCCAGAAACAAACCTAAACATAGATATTCACCAATTTTAGTTAAGAACAAAATATAAAAAAGATTGCACAAAACATTAAATAATTAAGAGATAAAACACAATAATATAGTCAAAGTGATTATTTACAGGAAAATTGGACTTTTTTTTGTTTGTTTGTTTTTTCTTTTGCTTTTCATTGTGTAACACACAGCATTTAGAAATTTAGAGAAATGAGTTTTTCATCTTCATTGAGTACAAAATGAAAGATGCAAAAAAACTTTATGAACAAATTCAGAATAATATTACATCTTGTTACATAATTTTAAAGATATTAAGTAAAAGATTACGCATGTAAGATATTAATAAATTTGATAAACATTTATAATTTGGAAACATATAATAGTGTATATACAATATATATAAGTATTGACTCATTCACCCCTGAAGACACATTTGAACTCTTCCAATTCAAATGTTGGAATATCTCATTATGAAATTTCAGGGGTGGAGGAGTTACTTGACTTGACCTCAGGCATTCAAGATGAATTATTTACTATAATTAGCCTTTGGTCACAAGCTAACCGAGGGGATATGCAATTACAACAGCATATTTTATATCAGCAACTGCAGGTTTTTATGCATTTTTTATTGCACTTTTGTTTCATGGCGACTGTTTACCTCTGTTATATGTTGTGATAGGTAAATGTTCATGTTCTTTTCTTGATAAAGGTGCGAATCACCCTGAAAATTTGACAAATTTCTATGTCTGCACTGTCGTTATTACTTCTTTGCCAATATTATATATATATTATTCTTTTTTAAATGTTTTAAACATGAAATAAATTTTAGGTTTACATGGAAATACTTGTTGTTTTTAAGGATCCCTGTCCCACACAACTGTTTTTTCTATACACAGTTATCTCCCCTTAACTTCCGTTTGGATTTGCTCCACCAGGACACTTCTACAGACCACTTATACCTCACTCGGTTACAGTGATAGTATAACGGTCTAGCGCTGATCAATTTTTTTTAAACCCAGAACAGTCTTGCTGATTATATTTTGTTAATTTTACCAGTATTATTTTTTCATTTAACAGTATTATTATTTTTATTTTTTCATTTATCAGTATTATTTTTTCATTTATCAGTATTATTATTTTTATTTTTTCATTTATCAGTATTGTTTTTTCAATTATCAGTATTTTGTTTTCATTTATCAGTATTGTTTTTTCATTTATCAGTATTGTTTTTCATTTATCAGTATTGTTTTTCATTTATCAGTATAATTTTTTCATTTATTAGTATTATTTTTTCATTTATCAGTAATTTTTTTTCATTTTTCAGTATTGTTTTTTTCATTTATCAGTATTGTTTTATCAGTATTATTTTTTCATTTATCAGTATTATTTTTTCATTTATCAGTATTATTTTTTCATAAATTATTAGTCCTGCAAGGTATGGTTTTCTTTTCAAAAGGGATTTATTCAGGTTTCCAATACCTAGTTACAGTTTTTGGCAGTGGTATGGGGATCCTTAAATGCTTTCTAATCACTTCATTTAAAATATACTAAATATTCATTGAACATTAATACAAATTTGAATTTTGCTGATCAATATGTATTTTTCTGTATATCTTTATTATCATATATTGTATTTCACTCATGGGATTATTTTTATTTATTTGAAATTGAATTCAAGATCATGCATTGTCTTTTACTGAAATCCACACGTTTTCATTTGTTCCTCTGCAACAAGATGTTACACTGCTACACAAAACAAAATCCCAGATGTAAATCTGTGTGTACCATATGCTGTGGTATACTGTTTTAGCATTTATATATTTATTTATTTGTAGAGTTTTGTAGTGAGTTGGTAGCAATTCATCTGATACACCATATTGTAAACTTACAGATTTAGTAAAGTAAACTTTCTTGTTCTTGAAAAACACTTTTAGTTTTAACACAATAAGTAGATAATGTATCAAGAAAAAAGACGAATTTTTTAAAGCATTATTTCAAAGATCCCTTGCACAAGGTATGTTGACATATAAGACAGTTATATAGTGACCTGCAGAAAAATGAAAATGGAAAATATTTCAAATAAACGAAAAAAAGGTAACAAGTACTAAACAGGTAATTAGCATATTTTACAATGGTATTTGCATATGTTAATGTCAAAACCTGTTATATATAAAATATACTGAACTTTAAAACTTTGAAATTAACCTCAGAACTTCTAATCCCATTTTGGGCTTTTTAACTAATTGTTATTTGCATACATACTCTTCAAGGTAATTCTCTCTGTAATACATGATATTACCCTCAGAACTTTTGACCCCATTTTGGGCTTTTTAACAAAGTGATTTTTGGATACATACCCTTAGGTAGTTCCTAAGGTCTTCTTTTAGACTTTGAAGTTCTTTAAGGTTCTTTATAATCATGTTTTACGACATAATGATAAGATAAAGAGCAAAACACTGCATTATTTTTAACCCATGAAGATTTATATCCTTTACACATGAATATTTATAACTTTTTAATTTGTTTGTGTGTTTAACGAATTGCATGATCTTACACATAAGTCTTAAAATGTCTGACGTAACATTTATGCTTTATCGACTTTTCGTGCATGTACCGTCACATTAGTAATAAATAACAAACTATTTCAAGATACAGGATTTGAATACAATTATTTCGTCATGAAATCTCACATAAAATTGTATCAAATAGCAGAAGAAATGTAGAAAATTAACATTAAAGTTTGTTCCCTTACCTAGATGACGACAGTATACGTATTAGGAAACATTATGGAGTCAATCACAATAAACATGAACGCATAAAAGTTTTATAATTGAGTGCTAATGAAGTAAAATAGGTAATTTAAAATGTGTATTAGCAAAGCACAGCCCTATCTCATCTCCATTACAGATTTTTACATATAATAAGAGGCATGGTAGTCTAGTGGTAGGACGCCGGGTTCGTGACCGAAGGGTTGCGGGTTCGAGTCACATGCCAGCACTGTGTTGTGTCTTTGAGCAAGATACTTTACTCAGCTTGTTCCAGTCTACTCAGCTGCAAATGAGTATGTGGTTCAGGGCAGTGCTAGAATTGGTGAATGCTAGCTGTGAGCGCCGCAATGGCAACACCGGCTGTATGCTCCCCATGGAGTTGAGAAAGATATTGGCTGGTTGCAAACTTGCCCTATAACCACGGATATTAGTTTGTGAACCGCTTTGAGACGACCTACGACCTAGCTAGGTTGTGATACAGCGGTATATAAGAACATTGTATAATTTAATTATAATATAACTATTATTATAATTAGTCCATTACATGTTATACTATTTTACTGTTACCATTGTCACTAATGTGAAATATGTTTGTTTAACCCTTTCGGTCCCCTATGGAACTTTAGTAGACTCTACCATGCATTGATATGGATGAGTCCATTATGGTCTACAGTGGTGAAAAGGTTTTACCTGGTAGTCCTTTTCAAAAGAAATATTCCATAAAAATCTCCCCAAAATACTGAAGGAGTCGAACCCTGGACCATAATATTGCAAAGTCTGATACTTAACCATAAAGGAACAATTACAAGCAATACATCAAGTTCAGTGTCCAATTTATGGGATGCAAAGTATATATAAACAAAAGGCCCAGAGGGCCTGTATCGCTCACCTGGATATTTGAGCAATCATGGGCAAATATTCTCAATAAAGTACTTTTGCAAATATTTCCAAATATTGAGTCTCCTTGGTTTAAGAATGTTCCAGACTAAATGAAACGTTATACTACTCTATCCCAGGAGGCTACTGGTCAAATATCATCACCCAGGGCCTCCTGGTTATTGCGGAAGAAGTTATTAAAAGATATTTACATATTAGACCCCTGTGACAGTGAAAGTAGGTCAAGATTATTAATTTGGGGAAACTTCACAGCATTCTGTCCCAGGTACCTACTGGCCAAGTATAATAAAATCTATTACCTGTAACTGAGCGAGATCGGGCTATCTCAGTCGAGGGTTAAGATTCTGTAACAAAATCCCAACCGAGGCGTAAGCCGAGGTTGGGATGTTACAGAATCTTAGCCAGAGACTGAGATAACCCGATCTTTCTCAGTTACAGGTAATTGATTTTTTTCTCTCGCACCTTTTAGTTCGAAAAAATCTATTCAATTTTGCTAAAAACTACAAGTATCCCGCCTTGGGCCTCAAATGATAATATAATGACCTCTTCACTACTTAATTAAAGCTACATTTGAATGCTTCCGCGTAAAAATGTAGTCCGTCCTTACATAGATTACAACGTATTTCACAGTGTAGATTATATTTTATCTACAACATCAAATATCTAACAACATCAAAACTATACATATAACGACAAAACAGAACATTTATAATGCAAATTGTCAATTTTAAGCAGTTAAAGCGCGGATGAATACATCGCAGTATAAAAATTCTGCGAAATGTTACGTAAAGATACAAGACAGATCGGACGAGATAGAAAAATCTAGCATGGGGTATGACGTGGAATATCACTGTCTGAGGTGCGAGAATCATTACTCTGGGCCTCCTGGTTATAGTCAGAAGAAGTTGTTTGAAAGCTTTTACATATTTGGCCCAGGTGTTACCTCAAAAGTAGGTGAAGGTCATTTATTTGAGGAAACTTAGTGCCGGGTGAGCTAAAAATATGATGCACTGTGATACCTTTATGTTCAAACTTCAGGATCACTGCCATGAAACTGCAGGCAAATCACTATACGGTAACATTACTGTTGTTGTACATCCAACAACTCCCCTCTCGATTTGGTGTTCGCAATGGAACCAGACCTGGGAATTATGCCTGATTAATTGGTAGCTACGTTTGTTAGAGCATTTACCGTACTGTGATCGTAGGTCCTGGGTTTGAATCCCTGATGGTATCATTTCATTTTCACTCTGAGAATATTCTTTTTAATTTCATTTTTGATATTCTTCGGTTTTTGTTTTAAAAAAGGTAACTTATAAAAGCTATCATATTTAAATAAAGAGAAGCGC